ATCTTATTTCGCGCTCTACTTATTTATCACTCATGACGCGATATTTTCTTCCCGAAGATGATATTTGTGAGAAACGAGAAAGCTAGTCGGCTTGCTCAAAAACTATAAAAGTACACACGACGTGAGAGAGCGTGGCTCCAGGGGCCATCTTTCCGAGAATTCGTCCTTCTGCCTTTAGATCGTAAATTACGCGCTTGGGTATTTTAAGGCACTTCGTTAATCGTGTCATCATTCGCCACTTCATTATCCGCCGCGGATTACGTAAGTTGGAGAAGTCCTAAATAAATAAACAAAGGAGTGACTTGCCGCGCATGTGGGCCGAGAATCGCGAAATTCCCGACAAAAAATTCGCCTTCGATTGCGCCATTTACCGAAACCGCAAGTGTTCGAGGGTATTCTCGTAACGCGACCGATGAGCGAATGCTCGTCTGTTAAAAAAGAAAAGAAAGAAAAAAATGTTTAAACCGCGTCATTAATATGCATCTCACGTCCCTGTCTGCCTTCTGTTCCGCCCACCTTCGATTATTTATCGGATAGCTAATCGTATAAATTTGACGCGACGGTTATATCGAGAGACGACGGTACGCGTCATTAGCGCTTCGTGTATACACTCGTCCCTTGCCGCAAATGCGTGTGACACAATGGCGAAATGTGCGATGGAACGAATCGAAAAACGTTTTCACTCGGACAATAATATCGTAATCGGAATATCCGTTCACATTTAGGTACATTTATACGCTTTGCGTATCTGCGTGAGTGTCACAGCGAGTGCCAGTGATTGAAACAGATGCCACCGGCCCACTCATATTCCGTACCAATAGAATTGCGCTTCATAAATCGGACTTTGTGACTTTGTGAAAATTTACAGATCATGAATCAAATCTTTTTTTTATAAATTGGAAACTCTATAGATTGAACTTGTAAATCGAAACTTAATAAATTGAATTTATTAAGTGCGATGTAAAAAACTTGCTATTGTTCCTCGGTTCGGCTGGTTACATGCTATAATTATGGATTCATATCTGAAGAATTGAGTCTATTCTCTAAAAACAGAATAATCCTGTTTGATGTCCTATTTTTTTTATTTTTGGAAAGAAATTTTAAAAGAATTATTCGACTCTCCTGTTATTTTAAAATTTTATAATTAGTTACCTATATTCAATATTACTGGATGAGGATTTTGAGAAACGACCCTCTTTTTCATGTATCTCTATTATATGATAGATTTAATACAACTAATCGATTAGTCATCTATGCCAATGAATTAAATCGACTTTTTTTATATGTCATTATCTACTATCCAATCTCTATCTCTACTATCCATTATCTACTGTAATCTCAATCGTTTGAATGCGAAAATATCTTAAATCTTTAGTCCCCTTTATGTTGTAGGGTTTGGGAGGAGGGGAGAATAAAGGGAGATGGGAAATCTTAATAAATGATTCAGCAAAGGTTCTTTTTCCCTTTTCATTTATTCTTATTTCTCTTTGCACCTTTCATTTCTTTCTTTCTTTTCTTTCTTCTTGTCTTTCTCTGCTCTGCTTTTTGTACTTCTTGTTTTTCACTTTTTTAGTTTTATCTTTCTATTTTAATTTTAATCGCATTAATTTAGTGTATCGTAAACTATCATATCGTAACTATGAGTTTCCTGTAAATAAATAAATAAATAAATATAAATGAAAAAATTATGGTTGAAAAATTGAAAATCATAGCTCCAATCCTAAAAGACACCTGTTCTCGTGCAATTGCATTTTCTAACGTTTCCAAATATTTCCTAAGGGGATTCCATCCTTCATTTTCGCGTGCGACGGGTCTCTCTTGGTGCTTGACATTTATGCAAAGCGTAATATGTGCACAAGACGCAATGTGCAATAACGCGCACGCACACACGAGCGACTTTTCCCCGCCGAGAGAATTAAGATTCGCTCGCGCGTCGTCGCGTAAATAATTCTCCTCAAGGCGGAATGTATGCGTGCGGTACGCGGGCAGTGCGTGCGTGAGCGGCGCGCGTTCTATTTATACGCAATCCGCGTGTTCGCCGGCAATAAAATCGTGGCGCAAATTCGGATGAGGTAAGGTCATCAGCGTGGGAGCGTGGGAGTACTTTCACCGCGACGTAAACGTTATTACGGCCAAAGTGAAAAACATGAGAAACGTAATATCGAAGGTGCGCACACACACACGCACACACACACATACAGACGTTGGCCTCACCCGAGAGAGGCGCCCGTTAAAATTCCGCGCGTTGACAAATCGCGTTGTCCAGGTAGTCGCACGGGATTACGACAAGGCGCGCGATTTCGCGGTCTATCGGCGTTAATCGCGATCGAACGACCGGCCGGCTTGCGGCGACATCGCCCCTCGTACATTCGTTCCTTCCTTCGATTTTCCTCGAGTTAGCCGTTTTTACACCTACTTCGTCCTCCGTTTAGATCCACCGACTATCCGCGGACGGCTTTACGGTTAGGCGTCTATTTGTTGCGCAATATTTATATTCGATGTGAAATTCGCCGTAAAATCGCGCCAGGGAGAACTCACATCTAGCCAGAAAAGCGGAAAACAGAAAGGCGGAAGCCAGAACACACGCTGGTAGAAAAGCAAAAACTGTCGACTACCAGTTCGCGAGTTCTGATTGGCCTTCGCTTTTCTGCCAAGGTGAATTCCTCCTTACAGGCAGGTAGAATATCCGTGCGGCTGGAACTTCGATACCAAACGTTGCGAATATTATCGACAACAAATAATGCATACCGCACACGCTCACACGTAAACCTACCTGCGTCTCCCCTTGAAAACAGCCGAGACGTGAATATAAGCGCGGTTCTTATGAGCCGGCAAAATTTAAGTCTGGTCCCTTAATAACGCAAGGTGATCGCCAATTAGCATCAATGAAATTTTAATACGGACAGCGGTGGATTGCGCGACCGCTGCTTGAGAACGATGTGATATATTCGCGATTAAGGATCGACACGAGAATCCAGCGACAATTATGAAACACACAAATGTCGGCGATAATTCCGATTTCAGTTCTGAATGATTTAATTCAATCCTTGTGAAAATGATGTCTAACAATATTTTATCTAAACTCTTTTCTGCACAAAGAAGAATATCGGAACTTTTCAGAACAAAAGAGGAAGAGTGTTATTAAACATTCGATACTTTTTCTTATTTTTTTATTTCCTCCGGGGCAAGCGCATTCGCGAGGACGCGTGTCGAGTCATACTACACTAGGTCTGTTCGTGTTACTTGCACTTTTTGTACTTAAAATAAGATAGACGCATATTCGGACGCTGGAAGAAGCAAGAGCGAGGAGATCGAGTGCGAAAAGTGCGAGCAACACGAACAAACCAACTGAAATGTCCTCTGAAGAAAAGAATCCAACCAATTTCTCGCAATCGCTCCGCGCCGAAACAATCGCCGCTTTCGCGAAAGGATCGCGACGCGAGAATCGCGCTTCGAGCTGGCGCGAAGGAGAACTCTCATTGACCAGAAAATACGCGCGGCCGCGCGCTCGTGCGGCTTTTATGCTAATACCTATAAACTCTGGCACAATCGTCGCTGTTATTATCGAGGCTACTACAGGCGATCATAAATCTCCCGCGCGACGGCTGGACGTTTCAAAAATGGCTCCTTCCGAGATCCGTGCGGCGCATCGCGCGTCTCAGACTCGAGAGGCGGGAGGAGGAGGCGAGCGCGCACCGACCGATCCACACATGCACACGCACACACGTGCACACATGCATACCGTGATACACTATTGTTGGTCGTGTTGTTGTTGATACTCCTGAAGAGAGCCGTCTCGCCATATGCGGCAAGGCCGCTCGTCCGTGTGGCACCGGGCCTCATAACGGCCCTCGAGCGCTCTCTCGCCTCTCCGCGTGGAAGAAATCCGGAAAATACGCCAGATTTTCCCGGATCTCCTCCCCTCTACCCTTCTCTCTTGCGCTCCTAAACTCTCATACTGAAATATTTGAATAAGAGGATTGTAAAGTACATAAGAAAATATTGATTCAAAATTATTTTATACTCTTTTTAGAGTTTTCAAGGTTTTTGAGGTTTAGAATCGAAAAACCATGAAGATAATGTACCGAATAACACATACAGGAATAAATAAATAAATTACTGAAAGTTTCACCTCAATATCTTTTACGGTTCTTGAGTTATGAGAGAACGTACACAAATAAACAAACAAATTTACATACATATAGAACTGAGGACTTTCTTCTCTAAATCGGTTAAAAATATGACACTTAAAAATATATCAACGAAGTGTCGTGCCTGTTTTTCCGAGGCGCGCAGCGTTAGACCAGAAGGATGCAACGCAGGAGGAACGAACAACGATTTATAATTATTTCATACTCTTTTTAGAGTTTTCAAGGTTTTTGAGGTTTAGAATCGAAAAACCATGAAGATAATGTACCGAATAACACATACAGAAATAAATAAATAAATTACTGAAAGTTTCACCTCAATATCTTTTATGGTTCTTGAGTTATGAGAGAACACAAATAAACAAACAAATTTATATACATATAGAACTGAAGACTTTCTCCTTTAAATCGATTAAAAATGTGACACTTAAAAATATATCAACGAAGTGTCGTGCCTGTTTTTCCGAGGCGCGCAGTGTTAGAAGGATGCAATGCAGAAGGAATGAGCAACGATTTAAAGTTATTTCATACTCTTTTTAGAGCTTTCAAGATTTTTCAGATTTAGAGTCGAAAAACCATGAAAATAACGTACCAAATAACACATACAAGAATAAATAAATAAATTACTGAAAATTTTATCTCAATATCTTTTATGATTCTTGAGCTACGAGAGAACGTAAATAAACAAACAAATTTACATACATATAGAACTGAGGACTTTCTTCTTTAAATCGGTTAAAAATGTGACACTTAAAAATATATCAACAAAGTGTCGTGCCTGCTTTTCCGAGGCGCGCAGCGTTAGACCAGAAGGATGCAACGCAGAAGGAACAAACAACGAGGACCGCTGGCTTCTCTGTTAAGGCTTTTTATTAATCTTTTTATAGAGTTTTTTTTGGTCAATTTACAACTGTTCGTAGATAAAATGATAACGTAACATAGGTAACGTTGCGTATAATAATCGTAGCAATTAATATTCGTTATTCTCCTGACAATAATAATAGCAATCGTAATTGTAATAATAATAATGATAATCGTAATAGAGCGACAGTTACAATGATTGCAATCATAGTTATTAATATTGGTAATCACCGACGTATTGTTCGTTAACATCAACGCACAACCCCCGCGATCGGTTCGGGGGTTGCAGAAGAAGCTTAGGCCTAAGGATTAGCCGCTCAACGCCGAGAAAGTCGCGCAACGTAACGGGAGAAGCGATCTTTCGTCTCTCCTATTTCGCTGCTCTCTCGTTGTTACGACGCGCTGTCGAGCCGAGCAGCTCGGACAATCTCGTGCCGGATTACATCGAATATCGATACGCACGAGTACTCGAGATTTCGCTGTCCCGTCGACATCACTCTGTGATCACTCTCTATGCGTATCGCACAACGAATACATACTTATACGTACACTTTTTTCCATACGTATGTTCGTTTCTCACTTGATGAAAATTGGATATCGATCAGAAGAGCCGCTCCGACGGGAAACGATTTGGCAGTACGTATTTATACTGAGACACAAGTGCCTTGATGCTTGCGACTGCGAGATACTGCGTAATGAAAAATAATTGCAAGGTCGGCAAGAGGAATTTCTCAATTTAATGCTGCTACAGTGATGATAACTTTATACGCGCACTTAACTACTGCCACTTCTTGTCAGGATGACAAGGAAAGATTGTTGCCGCCGGAAATGATTATGATTTTAGTGAGCTTTTTTCTCTCTCAGTGCGGTTTCGCGCGACGGGAATATCTCGAGCACTCGGCCGATTGATTCTCGCTGAGAATGGTGTTCGGTGATTCGGTATATCTGGACATACACTTAACCCTTCAGTGACAGACACTCGACACATTGTTCCACCTCCGCGAAAGAAAAAAGAAGAACAAATGAGAGGAGCCTTCGTTCCTTTTGGGCACCTACGCGCCGCAAGCGTCATTCTTTCTTCCGCATGTAATGAGCGATAAAGATGGAATGACGCTCGCAGCGCGCGAGCGTCCAAGAGGAACGCAACCTTGTGACGCGCGAACGCTCGCGTAACAAATGAGATCCGGGCAAAGACAAAAATTTTGCCGCGTCTTTCTGCAACTGTGCTACCGTCGGTTTCATTCGCGCGACTCGGGACGCTTGGCCGAGAAGAGTAGTGTGTGTTTCCCGAAAGTGTTCTCCGCACAGACTACGCTAAAATTATTATTATCAACGACGCGAGAATCTCGAATAGAAAAATACACATTTCGTCGAAAGCTAACTATAGGCGCAACAAATAACCCGTGTTAATCATTTGCCGAAGGGTTAAGTCAACTTAGCTTAAACTTAAGCGTCTATTTTTACACGGTAAAAACGAGGATATGCGTACTAACAACGTATTCGTCATCATATGTACAGAAGATATAAAACGCTCTGTCCGCGCAGCACCGAACTCCAGTCGCAGAGGTTATGTTGGGAGAGGAGGGGAGGGCAAACTCCGCCGTGTTTTCCCGACCCTTCACCCGTTCGCATCGTGTGTGTTCATCACTCGTGAACATTTCGTCGCGAAGCCTTCCGAAGCGAACTAATAGTAGCACACCGTGAACGTCGTTGTCTACAGAGAGAAAGACTAGAGATCAATTTAATTGTTACAATTTAAGCCGAGGTGCGAAAAGATTCGTTCGCATTGAAAACCAGAGATGTACTTACAGGCGACTTTTGCTCGCGTGCGCGCGTGTGTATGTGTGCGGAAGAGTTGTCAAAATCGTCGACCTTTCCTAAACTGTACCTCATCAAATGTGCCTGATTTTTCCGTTTGTAGCACAAGATAAGACATAATCTGAAGGTATTTCATTTATTTTTATTGCTCTTCCATTTATCTCCCACTTTTTACTGTTAGACGTCGTTTATATTACATATCCAGTAAGCAAATTGATAGTACGTAATTGATAGTAAAATTTACGCGAGTTTGGCTATCTGGGGAGTCTGTAACGATCTGTAGATTCGTAGCAGTAATCAAATAAATCCTGCTGCGCGACAAGAGATTTGCGCGGTTTCTGTTCCCGATCTGCTCGCATTGCCTGTCAACAGACTCTGATGACAAAACACGAGTTGAGTGAACACAGATGGCTATGGTTTTGATATGGAATTCTGATCAAATTTGCTGCCACTCTGCTATCAATTTGCTTACTGAGTCTACTCGGTTTCTGTCACACTTTTGGCAGCAGTTTGCTAACATAATTAGATATAAATCCTATATTGGATTTGCTGCCTTCTCGCCATCAAAAATTTGCAGCATGCTCTGTTTGGAATCTGTTTACGCAGGTTTGATATCTGGGGTAGTAATATAGAGATTGATGAGGTACGATTTCAGCAACTCTCCCCTATACACATGTGTGTGTGTGTTTTCTTGTGTATTTGCGTGTAAATGCACGCGTGAATCCGTGTGTGCACGTATAGAAAACACGACGATGACGTTATACGCGCGACAAACGCAGGAAATCGCTCGAGTTTCGAGTAAGGCGAGGGGTGGCCGCGTGTGTCGCGGCTAAGAACCCCCGTCGACGGGGAGACTGACCCTCGATCTTCACTTATTTCCCACATCGGTCGACGTATAACGCGAGTCTAACGCGAAAGATCGGAGAGGATCTCCCTAAGAGCTACGACGGAAACGAACGGAGAAAGGACTGACCGACCGTATAGTATCGTATCGAATTTGTCGGAAACGCGCCCTACTACTATCGCGCGTGCACATGCACGGGACCGACGTCCACACTACCGCGATACTAAAAAATACCCCTTTTCCGCAAAATAAATCCCTCTCTCTTTCTCTCTCTCTTTCCGTCTCTTAATCCGTTACTAAGACACTTGGTACAAAACGGCGCTACGCTTGCGTTTGGTATAAAAAACAGTTAAATGTTGGAATGGCATTTGTTCGACGACGACGCGTCGCTATCAGGGCTTCGATATTTTTTTCGGATCTGACATTATCCGGATACTTGATTGATCGGGTAGTACACATCAATGCTGATGCCTGAATTCAGGTTATCCGGGGATTCGGATTTTCGACAGACGTAGAATAGATTGCGTAGGAGGGAAAGAAAAGACGACAAGATGTTTTTCCCTTGTCTAATTGTTTAGCTGGTAGTGAAAACCAGGGAGAAGAAATGATTCATGCATCCTCTGTTTCTTTCGCTGTATTTCATTCTCTCTTTTGTTGCTCCTACATCGTTCTCTCTTAAGCCTGATCTACAATATGTTCTTTGCTTCCTGCTTCTTTCTCTTTATCTCTTTTTTACTCAAACCTTAAGCTTTAAGCCAGAAAAAGACAGAAAATAAGAAACAGAACGCAAAGAGCATATATTGTAGATCAGGCTTTAGGGTATTGTGTGACAGAGAAAGCATTTAATTTAGCATATCTCTGTCTTTCAATCTTGCCATCAGCCGTCCTGCAAGAGCGTGCAGTCTATTCTACAAGTCTATGAGATTTCCCAAGATGCCCTAACAGTTGAAATATCGACTTTGGTCCTAAATTCGCAGGGGAATCGATAGACACGTTCGCAGCAACCTGCTTGTCGGAAATTGGAAAGTCAATAAATCGATATTTCTTAACTGCAATTTGACAACTTAAAACAATTGTGCCTATTTGCGTATTTAAATAATAATTTCGAATATAATTTTGTTATTAAATCGATCAATCTTTTGATTTAATGACTTTTTCTCTAATTCGAATCCAAATTCGATTCTGAATTCAGATTTCTTCTTATGACCTGAACTTGGATCTGAATAATGTGGTTTTGAGAGTTTTCGGATTAGAACCGATCTCGGACATCCGGATAGTCAGATATCCGAATACTTGAGAGCCCTAGTCACTATCTACATAATGCAGTCTGTTTCAGGTTTAAGGACGAGGGGAGGGGAACTATGGGGTAAGGGGTGGGGGTTTGATTTTTCATACGGAGGATCCAAGCGGGATCCTCTCGCGTGTTCGACCTTCGACGTCCCTTTCTCCTTCGATCGATCGGTTTCGAGTCGTTTCCTACTATCGTCTCTCTTACCTGACCTGTCCTCATCCTTCTCATTCTCCTACTTCACTCCATGCCTCCTCTCGTCGTGGCGAGAAGTCGTAACGCGTAAATAAATCGTCTTTGATATATATACAACTGATAAACTATATAAATAAATAAATCGATAGGTGTTGCCGATCGACAATGATAAGACCGATCGGTGTATCCGATCGCGGCGGGTCTCCGTTCGACAACGTCGAATCCGCCGCGAAATTCCGATCGCGTCGATCGCACGAGACGTATGCGCGGCGGCGCTTACAGTCGCCCGCCATCGTCTCGGACCAATCGGCGAGAGCTGGGGTGCAATTAACCGACTGGAAGTAAATCGATTGGGAAGCCATTAACGCAAGACTCGCCGCGGCTAATTGCCCACCTTTGATTCCGCATTAATCAATTGAAAATCTTGTCCACGAGACGAGTTTCCTACTTCGCCGCTTACCTCTTTCTCTCTCTTTCTACCTCTCTCACTCTTGCCGTTCACTCTCCCTTTCTGCCGCTCTTCGCTTCGCAGGCAATCCGTCCGTTTTCTCGCAAATGTCGTCTCGTTCTTCAGCACCATCCAAGCACCACCCCGATACGTGATTACTAAGAGCTACTAACTGATTGACCCCGTACCGTTAAGGCCCGTTAAGTTACCTCCGGCCCGATCGGACGTTCCCCACCCGCGAGATCGTGGTAGACGTCGAAGGCGCGGCCGAGGAGCGCAGATAGAGAGCGGATTACTCGAACTCTCTGCGATCCCCGCGTCTCCTGAGAGATGAGACACTCGACCCTGCTCCCAATTTAGACTCCAGCTCTCCACTGCTGTCGTCGTCGTCGTCGTCGCCGTCGCCACGTCGGAACGTCCGACCTTACCCATCAAATCGCCCATCAAGAGCCAAGCGACGCGAGAGACGCAATTACTCGCTCGCGCGCCTGGATCCCTCCACTATCGACCTGAGCCGAAACCTAATCTAACACGCGAAGGCTACCGGCCTACACACCGCGATCCTTGCTGGAACTCGACCAAAGGAGGGAGAAGCCACTCTCAGACGCTGTCGGACGCCACGGACATCGGTCTCTTGTAGGACACCGGCGCCGGTATCCTCGAGTAACCTCCTCTCTCGGACACTGGCTTTGGGTCTTTTCTGGGATTCGTCGTTACCGGACTATCCTGCGGCAGAGTAGCCGTCCCGTTACTGTCCACCCACGCCTTGGTGAGCGCCATGTTCGCGGCACCGTCGTTTAAACCGGTCTTCTGGTAGGTCTTCAAGAGATCCTGCAGTTTCCGCACCATCTCGCGGTCGTCTTGCAGGTGGCCCACCTTTTGCAGGATTTGCTCCAAGAGCGGATTCGCCACCTTGGTGGGTGACGACTGCAAGGATCCCGTGGCGGAAGCTCGAATTCTCCTGCCGTTCTTGTCGTATTGGGCACCGCCGTTCGAGTTTGGCCTGGGTAGACTTTGCCGAGCTGGGCTCTTCCTGGAGAAACTCGATGTCGTGGCGCAAGCAGTTGACGTAGCTTGAGGACTCATGAAAGTATCCGATTGGATACTGGGCCTCTTTTTAGTCTGACGGCCGTTCCACGTGTTACTGCCGCTAAGTGGCGATTTGCAAGACTTGGGTATCGGCGAAGACGCCTTGTTGACGCTTCCAGTCACCGTGGGTGGTTTTCGTAGGCTCCCGCAGTTGCGAGAAGCGAGACTGTACCCCGCTCGGTTCAATGGGCTACCCTCGGGACTGGAATTGCTGTCTCTGGGTGTTCTGCTGCCGGATGATGCCTTGGATAGGTTACTGATAGAACCGGCTCGGGGTGTCTTTTCACCCGACGAGAACGTTTCATTTCTCGGCAGCGGATAGTTTCGTACAGGACTCGAGGACCGAAGTCGGATCTTGCGCAGTCCGGTCTCGATACTGTCGGTGTCCACGCAGGATCTCTCTTCGGACTCCGCTTTTGGAGGTTGCTCTGTAACAGAGAAAGCAAAGACGCGCGTTTACGCTTGATCTGACGGGACAAGTGCTGCCGACTGCAAATATTTAAATTCCTGAAATTTTGCAAAGAGAAAACATATTTGAGCCTAATAACATTAGACTACTTTTTCTGGCTGAGATACATTTCTAGAGGTGACAGCTTCAAATAAAATTGTATTTTATATTTTTATATTTTATATTTTTATTCAATTTTCAAAAAGAAAAATTCTCAATTCAACCTGCACGTATATGTACGCAATTATCTTGACAATCACTGGAACGATCTTTATGAAACCTTAAACAAATGAATCTAGACATTCAGGAGAAGATTCAGGCAAACCTAGGTCATGGATTCTCAAATTTCGGCTCGTTAACAAATGCCGGTCCGCTAATACCTTGTGATCCATCGGACCAATCTTCGTAAAACTTTCAGTAAACAAACCTAGACATTCAGCAGAAGGTTTCAGATAAGACGGTTTATTTCTTATCAAGTTTTTATTTATTATTTATTGTAATTTTTAAAACCACATAACATTGAAAGATACTAAATAAATAAAAAAATTCCACGACACTATGTATGTGTGAGAAGAAATTTATAAAAAAATTTTTTTAAATTTACTTCCACCATTCCTTATTTTTAAAGTTATTCTCTATTACTGTTTATATGTGGTCCTTTCTGCAAAGATTCACACTTTTCAGAATATGTAAATTGCTAAATCTCCGTGAAAGCGACTGGTATAATTAATTAGGCATTTATACTTGTTTGTCCGTCTGGAGTCCGAAATCGCCAATAAATCAGGTAATGAAAATTGTCGTTATATCATTACTTCTGCAATATTTAAATTATTATCATAAGTATATCGCTACCGGGGTCGCCAATTCGCGTCTTTTGCTAGAATTGATTATCTCGCTGAAGCTTATTAATTATTCACAACCAGACGTCTCCCTCCCCTCCCCTCCCCCCAGTATCTCGACAGAAAAAAAGTCATAGGGCGGCTCCGTTTATATAATTTCTCACGGCTAGAAAGCACGCTGATTACATAAACGATCGTTGCACGATCATTTCCGCGCGGCGGACGGTCCATTAACGCACCCCGTTGTCACGGGAATCCACATCTTCGACGAATATTCGCGCGTAGCGATTAGCGTTTTCGTGGTCAAGCGCTAAAATTTTGTCGCACACCTTTGTCAAGGTGTCAGCTTTCACGTACGCGTGTCAGTCGGCTGCCCGAGTAAAGAAAAATCAACGATACAACGCCGAATCAGTCCCGCCGGCGCTTAGCATATTTAGCGTAGGCGAGGAGGTGAAGGAACGCGGGTCGCGATGTAATCGAGGACTGTTTGTGGGTCTTGTCGATTTACATCGGACACGACGCACCTGCGACGCCAGGCGGTCCCAGAGACGAACTCCTCTGCCGGGACTTCTGTATTCGGCGACCCAAGTCGCGTGAGCTCTTACCGATGAATATTCTCCTTGTCCCTCTCCTCCTTGCTGCCTCGCTCTCTTTCTTATTGCTGTTTTTTATGTAACATACACGCTCGAATTTTTCTACGTAATTTTTATGTAACCCAAGTCAATTTCGTTATGTAAAATTCGCACGAATGCTACTGCTATGCCCACCGATCTTGCACACTAATTAATGTCGCGTCGCATAATAATTATCGATCGTATATTGTGTATTTATTGCGCGTCCGTCGCTCGTATCGTCATGTTATTCGACCGTACGACATTATCCGGCCAATTAAACGTGAGATTTTGGTTGACGAGCAGCACAAAAGAGGGCGAAATGTTTATTTCTCCTTCTCGAATTTGTGTCACAATATTCCGCTGTATAAAAGAAATATATGCATTATGTTGCTAAAAACGGTGATTACTCGGTTCACTTTTCTCCTTTCAACTGATGGTTACCTCCAACAAAGAGTATTTTCTTAATAGTATAGTTTTAAAATATATACTTAAAATAATCTTGAAATATGTAATATAATCTTAAAATATGACTCCATAATATCACAAATTTTAGAAAAGCTCATTATCACGTAGTATTATCACGTAGTAATCAATCAGAAGAATGTATTCTCTTCACTACAATATTACAAGATTCCATCAAAGGAAAAGTAGGTTAGACTCTATGTAGTAGGCGGACCGAATTTTTTTCTCAATTGAACATTTTGATTGAAATGCTGAACTTATTGGGATTCAGGATGTATTTTGAATAAATTTGATGACCTTATGATAGATTTGCGGACATGTAAACTTATGCAATACTCGAGACAAGTGTCACCGACTTGACTTGTATTGTGTATTTTTCTGTGTGTAGAAAGTCGCGATGGAAACGTCGACTTTTATGTTTCTCCGGCCACCTGATGTCACCGCGCAGCGGTGTGTCGTCCCACATTACGTCTCTTCGCGCATTTCGTACGCACCCACGTCTAAAGCTCGCGAGAGAAAGTCCATTCTCTGTGGAGTTCGAGAGGAGGAGAAATTAGATTTTTAAATTCACGCATCGCGAGAGAGGCCACGCGCGCGCGTGCGCGAGAACGTCCGGCGGGACTCGAGTTCGTCGGGAGGGGGTGGGAGGAGGACGCGAACGTAAATAAGAAAACGATACTCGTCGGACCCTCCTCAACCGCGGCTCGGATGAAAAAAAATTGACACCTCGAAATACCGGCTGGGCCGATCAAACGTTGAATCCCGACCCTCGTCAGAGACTCTCGGAGAGTCGATCGCGCGCGCTCGATAACGCGTTGCACTTTTTAATTCCGGTCGCGACGCGGAGCGCAAAAACGTCGCATAAATATTAACGCGTCCGGTTATAGAGATCGCTGTGAGTTACAACGTTTTTGTACACGCGTCTGCGCGCGCACGCGTATGTGTGTGTGCGGGCGCGCGCGCGAACGTGTGTGTCGCGTAATTAAAATCCGGGGATCGAAAATCTATTTCGAGATCTCGTCCTAGTAACAACACGTCGCCCCGTCAAACCGGATCCGTTTCAGCCTTCATCGATCTAACGAGTCCTTGGAACTTGTTATTAAAATTACGCAAATGAATTACGAATTGAATCCGCGCGCGCGCGCGGGGAACCTGCGTCGACGTGCTCGCTAAGTGCAGCTGATCCGCTCGATATCGCGCTATCATATGAGGCGTTCGTAACGTAAGAGAGATAAATGCATAATTTATGAAGCTCGGTTTGGAGCGTAAAGCCATATTTGCGAAGTGAATGTCGAGAATTACGGATTTCCTTCGCTCACACCGCGGACTACTCGTATTATGCGTCTTTAGATCACTGAGATCCTTTTGTTTCTGAGTGTCTGTAGATCTTTTGTTTTCGCACAAGATTTTTAAGATTTTTTTATCTCTGAACAGAACTCTTAATTGATGAAGCTAGAAAAGAGAAAACACAGTCGAAATTTTTGCGTGCCATTTTCGAATAAAAAGTTGCTTATATGAAAGAACACTTTAGATCACTTTGGTATACATATAAAATGCTCCGAAAACTATCCTGTTCCCTTGACAGTCAATAAAGAATCGTGAAATCAACGTGACATGCAACCTTCCTCTTTAACCTACTTTTTCTCGTGATTTTGTCACGTTAATTTTGCGGCTATTTATTGACTGTCAAGGGGAAAATTAATCTTTCTTGTCTCTAGCATCACGATCCAACACGGCAAATGTACCTAGGAGTTCTCTATAATTAATGCAAAAATATTGATGGATAAAATTGGACACAGAATAAAATATAAATGTAATTGGGATTGGAATCTCTTCTATTATTCTTTTAACATGTTCCGTTTCAAAAATAATTAAAGAATCACAAAAGAGTTTTTAAACCACGATAGACAGAAACGGCGATAACAGGAAGCTCTAAAGGAGCCAAGATACATCATATATTCTAATGTTAAAATAACAAAAGCTGAGAGAAAGAGAAAAAGAGAGGTATCCGTCTCGTCTGAGAAGACAACGAAAATATCAAAAGCTGCTTCCGCACGCTACATATAATGAACAGTCAACGAGGAAAATTAGCTGTGCCGTTCTTATCGCAGGAACTACCGCGTTACACGTTGAATGTCGCCAAATAATGACAGCGCGCTCGTTTGTTTCGCGAGCACTGGAACGAATCCAGCGAATCGCCAAGCTCATTTTGTCTCCCGGCTCAAGAAAAACCGCGTTTCCTTGCCAAACCCAATTTTCCTCGGCGGTACTTCACGTGCGACGTGACAGACGAGCGTAAAGTTGGGAGATTAATTGCTCACGAGACAATCTCTGGTCTCTATCAATTAAGTTACTGAGTTACAAGTAGGACTGTCACTCTTTTTGTACGTCATAGTAGCTTTTTTCATCGTCATCAGGCGCCGTTATCACCCTCCCCCCCCCCCCCCC